AAAGAAAGAAATCAGGCCCGATGTGCTGTCCTCCTTCTGTGCCCCCTCACTCTCTGGGCCCTAAGGCTCCTAATGTTTCCTTTCCCTGGAGACCCAGGGCTCAGTCTCCCTTCACATGAGGTGCATCCTCTGGGTGGCACCAGAGTCTTCGTCCCCATGGTTCACCCAGACCCAGGGCCAGGTGGTTTGCAGACTGAGGGCTTGGCCCACCACAGGGAGCTTTGGGCTGGAGGTGGCCATGCCCCAGAGGCTAGTCAGGACTGGTTATATTCAGCTCTGGTCAGGTCTTCCTGCCCAAGGAAAGTCCCATCTGAACTGTGTCATCAGCTCTACCATCTAGGGGCCTGCCAGCCTGAGCCTCTCCCAGCTGGAAACCACAAAGGTCACTGAAACTGCTGCCAGGGTGTACACATGCACACATTCCTATAATGCTAATGCTCACAACTCATGACACATGTGGAGATGCCCTCAGAGGGACTGTGGGATTACAGAAAAGCTCTGGGATGAGGAAGCAGTGCCGCTGATCTGTGAATGTCCCTTTAAGAAAAGGGCAAGAAAAGGCTGTTAAAGCTCAGGCACTGGAAAGGGCAGCCACAGCTCAGGCCAACACTACAGTAAGGGAGCACACATACTCCCAAGGTCAATGGGGCAGCAAGTGGGACAGAAATGGAAGGGGGGAGGAGAGGGAGAAAGAGAGAAATGGAGGAGAGAGAGAGAGAGAGAGAGAGAGAACAAACAAAAAACCAGTGAAGATAGGAAACACAAGTCCCAAACTGCCAAGCCCCAGAAGGAAAGCATCGAGTTAAAAAGGAGGCAGCAACTGCCCGTTCCAGCAGGAGGAGCAGCTCAGTTTTGTACATTGGCCTGACGCCAGATTGAGTAGCTGGTCCTGGGCATGGGATCACGGGATCATGAGGCTGGGACAATTTAGTGCTCTGAAGCTGCCCAGGCACTGGAAGGGGTCACTGAGTCTGGCCCATCAGCACTCACATACACAGCGGCTCCGCGCTGGATCCAGCATCAGGCCCCGTCTGCATGTGCACAGGTAGCTGCCTCTGGTGTTTACACACTCCAGGTCCTTGCACAGCCCCACGACCAGGCACTCATTGATATCTACAGGGAAGGAGAAGATGATCAAATTCCCCCTCTACCGGGCCTGATAACAGGATGGAACTGTTCAGAAACCTTTGAAGACTTTCTCCAAAAAGAATGAAAAGAAAGAGCTGCTCTTTACTAAGTATGTCTCTTTTCTTAGTGCTTCGGTTTCCTCATTTGTAAGATGGGAATAAAGATAGTATCTATCAGACTGTGCTGTCCGAAAGATAAAATGAGAAAAATTTTGAACCACTGGATCCCACGACTGGCATGTAATAATGCTCCCAATGTAAGAGCTGAGGGTTCTGGAGTGAGTACCTGTTGTGCAGTGCATACCGCGCTGGGCATTTAACATAAATACCCATTTAATTCTCATAAATAATTTTAGCACATAGATCCATGCATCCTCATTTTATAGAAGAAAAAGGCTCCATGAGTAACTTGCCCAAAGTCACTCAGCTTTGGCGACTCTGACAAATAGCCCAAACAGAGGAAATGGGCAAAGGAGACTCTCTAGATTGGAGGGTGGCAAGTGGGCAGTCAAGCCCCTTGTATTTAGCTTTTCTCAAGATTCTCCCGAGCCCCTCTGCAGGGCCCAAAACCTGGGGTCGTGGGTCTGCAGTTACTGGAAGCAGAAGGCTGGGGCGGTGCTGGGGAAGGGAGGAGAGGCTTCTGCAAGGTGGGCAGAAGGGCAGGTCTGGAGAGCCTCGTGAACCCC